CAAACAAAAAAAACAAATCTGCAGTGTCTCTTTGTGTCACGGGTAAAGTGTAATGTTAGCAATAAGCTAATCTGTTTTATTAGGTTTTAAAATGTGAATTTCTGATAATTGCTTTTTGAACAAACATTTTTTTCTGTAATGACTACATTTGGGCTGACTTCTAACATTAAAGTAATGGTTTAAATGTAGGATGTCAAAATATATTTTTTTCCGTATATGCGCACACACACACACACGTGTATATATATATGTATATATATATATGTATACACACACACACAAATATATATACACACAGACACACATATACATTGAGGAAAATAAATATTTGATCACCCTGCAACTTTGCAAGTTCTCCCATTTAGAAATCATGGAGGGGTCTGAAATTTTCATCTTAGGTGCATGTGCACTGTGAGAGACAATCTTAAAAATAAAAAATCCAGAAATCACAATGTATGATTTTTAAAATAATTTATTTTTGTGTTACTGCTGTAAATAAGTATTTGAACACCTGTGAAAATCAATGTTAATATTTGGTACAGTATCTTTGTTTGCTGTTACAGAGGTCAAATGTTTCCTATAGTTTGTCACCAGGTGTGCACACACTGCAGCAGATTCTGGCCCATTCCTCCACACAGATCTTCTCTAGATCAGCCAGGTTTCTGGGCTGTCGCTGAGAAACACAGAGTTTGAGCTCCCTCCAAAGATTTTCTATAGGGTTTAGGTCTGGAGACTGGCTAGGCCACTCCAGAACCTGGATATGCTTCTTACGGAGCCACTCCTTGGTTCTCCTGGCTGTGTGCTTCGGGTCATTGTCATGTTGGAAGACCCAGCCACAACCCATCTTCAATGTTCTGAGGGAAGGAGGTTGTTCCCCATAAACTCAATCCACGGCTCTTCTCTTAATACAGTGCAGTCGTCCTGTCCCATGTGCAGAAAAACAACCCCAAAGCATGATGCTTCCACCCACATGCTTCACAGTAGGGATGGTGTTTTTGGGATGGTATTCATCATTCTTCATCCTCCAAACACGGCAAGTGGAATTAAGACCAAAAAGTTCTATTTTGGTCTCATCTGACCACAGAACTTTCTCCCATGGCTCCTGTGGATCATCCAAATGGTCGTGGACAAACTTAAGATGGGCCTGGACGTGTGCTGATTTAAGCAGGGGAACCTTCCGTGTCATGCATGATTTTAAACTATGACGTCTTAGTGTATCCACAGTAACCATGGAAACAGTGGTGCCAGCTCTCTTCAGGTCATTGACCAGCTCCTCCCATGTAGTTCTGGGCTGATTCCTCACCTTTCTTAGGATCATCGATACGCCACGAGGTGAGATCTTGCATGGAGCCCCAGTCCGAGGGAGAATGACTGTCATGTTTAGCTTCTTCCATTTTCTAATAATTGCTCCAACAGTTGATCTTTTTTCACCAAGCTGCTTAGTAATTGCCCCGCAGCTCTTTCCAGCCTTGTGGAGGTCTACAGGTTGGAGCCATGTCATTGACTGTTCGCTTCCTTTTTCTCAGATATTTTGAACTGGATTAAGATCAGCACCATCTGTAGGCCATGTTGTTGACATTACGTCTTTCTAGAAGGAATATTTTTTTAACTTAGTTTTTATTGATTATCTTTTTGTCATCATAACAGAACCAACTTATATCTGCAATAGATAATAATCACAATCTTATAAAAGTTATAAACAAAGGTACAGGTATGAGAGAGCAGTCAGGATTACGCTTCATATGTAGTTTCTCAGGGCTAAGAGCCGGACCACGCCAATAATTGTCCTCAAGGAATCTAGTCCATTTTCCCCATGAATTTCTGTAGAGTTCAACTTGCAGCCTCAGCATAAATGTTAACCTCTCCATTTTTTTAAAGATAATGGATGGAGTGGAGGTGGACTAGCAGGTCTTTGAGGGCCAGAATTGTTGCTGATTGGCAGGTGTTCAAATACTTATTTACAGCAGTAATACACAAACAAATTACAAAAATCACACATTTTCTGATTTTTTTAAATTTTTTAGATTATGTCTCTCAGAGTGGACATGCACCTAAGATGAAAATTTCAGACCCATCCATGATTTCTAAGTGGGAGAACTTGCAAAGTCACAGGGTGTTCAAATACTTTATATATATATATATATATATATATATATATATATATATATATACATACACACACATATACATAGATGTGCTAACCTAAATTAGCAGTTTTCTTTAACTTATTTAAAATGGTTCTTAAAGTATTGTTTTTTTGAGAAGGCTAACTTTTAATTTCCTCTTACCAAGCCAACAATCACAGCAACATCCGATTTAGCAAAAACCACACATCTGAATGGTTTAAAATCACAGTAAATTAATAAAATATGGTTACAAATAAATGTGTTTATGGTATTTGCATACTCGAGCACAAGGAGTAATTCAGTTAATGGAAATTTCCCTTTTATTGTTGACAACAAAATCAGAACCGACGGAGGTACAAACGTTTCTCCTGTTTCCTGTTGAAGATGACTTACAGACATTTTTTTCTTTCGGCTGCTCCCTTCATCACGGTACCCGGTACTTACAGAATATCCTACAATAATACAGAACTCTTTGGTGAAATGTGATTTACGTATGACTGACATCTTCTAATCATCTGTTTATTTGGAGGTAAATGAATAAATGAGCCACAGAGACTCCATGCAGATTATTTTACGCAGTTTTCAACAGGGAGTTTTGTTACACTTAAAATGGAGATTTAGGATGCTTCGACAGAATACCTGACAATCAAGCAACAATTTTAAGTGTCATAATGTATTACGGCACAGATACACATTACATAAACATCCTTTCTATACTGGACAGCAACATTTACCTTAAAATGAAGTCAAGGTCACACCTTGTTGAATACATCAAGCACAATAAAACAAGAAAAGCACATCCTCCTCTGCAGAGGACACTCCATCCCAGAGTAGATCCTCCTTCTTCACTTTAACTCACAGCATGAAACACGTCGTGTCTCCTGACTATCATAACTGGAGTGCTGTGAACAAGCTGCAGACAGAACGACAAAACAAACCATTTATAAAAAAACGTTAAAATTCTTAACATTTGTGTTTTATTTTTTTAACCTTTAAAGGTGGAAACACTGACGTCAAACACATCCTCACTACACACAAGCAGTAACTTTTACAACAGCTCACACTTGCAATCTGCTTCGAAGCGCACTTGAGACCAAGAAAATGGCAGCTTAACCCAATAAAATATGTTCAGGCATAACTATGACATTAACTGAAAGTAACAACTGTGACATTCAGGTGTTTCCATTTCCTGTCCATAGAAGTTTACAGTTACAAAAATCCAGCGCGATAACTTCCTCATATTTGTTTACACACATCTGGAGATCGTACACCAACAAACCCCGGCCAGCTCCGCAACGCTTACAGCCTGAACATGCACGTTAATGTTGTGCATGCAAGTATGTGAGCGAGACACCGAATGACACACAGCATCACTGGCCCTGCAGCGTCCCGTTGTTTCAACAGAGCAAAAAGTCTTAAAAGATGCGTTAAAGCAACGATTTAAAACCATCCGAGCAGTAAAAGCAGGGTGTCAGAGCGAGGCCGGAGCGAGCCCACGCTGGACCGTTAGTTGACTTTCTTGCTGCGCAGTCGGAGCGTGTCCAGCCCGTAACTGCAGACGGAGCCGCTGTACTGGGAGAGGAGTGTGAGGAGCTTTCCATGGAGGAGGGTCAGCAGAGTCTGGTGGCCCGTGGCCCACACCCGGTACCTGGGCCCGTAAAATGGGTCGGACACGGCCGGACACAGCATGTTGTTCAGGTTGACCTCGGTCGCCTGGAGGACAGAGAGGACAGGATGAGTGAGTTAGAGCCATAATTTCATGTAATGTCAATTTAAAAAGCATTATCCACTTGGATGAGGTTCAGGCAAATGTCATGGCTGACTTCACTCTGCATATCTTTATAAATCATTAATTTCCTCTGAATTTCTGCTCCAGAAATTTTTCCCCTAAAAATGAAATGAATAATGAGTTCAGCCCCGTTCAGGTCCACTTATCATTCCACTGCAGAAACTCGTTTGGCTGCTGAACGATTCTCATCTTGTAATCACTGCAGATTTTCTCTCTAATTTTTAAATTTTTTTTTATTATTATTCATTCACTTTAAAGCTGAAGTGGGTGAACAGAAAACAAAATGTCAGCGTTTCCACAGAATATCTCAAAGATTAATGTCAGCATTGTGAAGTTTACGATGTTTCCTATTTAAAGACGCGTTTCAATGAATTATTTTGCAATCAAGCAGCCAAAGTTGGGGATATTTGCCTTTTTATTAATTACCGTATTTTTCACCCTATAAGTCACAGTTTTTTTCATAATTTACATATCCTGCGACTTATACGCTGAAGCGACGTATTTATGGATTTTTTCCCAAATTTATAAACTAATTATTGGCTGAGATTTGACCGTTTTCGTTCATTCTGACTGAAAATATTGAACACATTTTCAGCCACTAGATGGCACTCGAGTTGTATGCCGTTGTATCAGGTAATAGGTAAAAGTGGCTATTAATGACACAATCAGCTTGCCATAGCCTGACACAATCATCTGCCTGGAGCAACCGTCAAACCAGCTTCATTTCACTGTGCCGCCCCAGTGAAATGAAGCTAATTTGACCACTGAAGTGCATTTATTAAGTTAAAGTTTAACTGAGACACCTTTACTATAAAGTCGAGCAAACAAATAACTGTTGTTAGGTGGTTATCTTGTTAAATTTTGAAGAAATGCACAGTGACTCATCCCTCAGCACGTTCATGTTTCTGTGTATCTGCTTTAGAAATGCAGCTGATTTGGTCGTCAAGGTGCATTTATTAAGTTAAAGTTCAACTGAGACACCTTTGCTATAATTATGAGCAAACAAATAATTATTTTTAAGTGTTAATCTTGTTAAATTCTTGTTAAAAGTCCTCCTGTGCAGGCCCCAGCAAAACACCGGCCCACATTTCCAGGTTGTCAGCGGTGACGCATAATAGATGCGACATATACGGCAAAGCGACATATTTATGGATTGTTCCACTTTATTAGATATACTTGGTCTGATGTGACTTAAAGCGCAGTGCGATGTGTACAGCGGAAAATACAGTAATTTCTCAATTGCAGCTTATAAATATCATTTAGCCCAACAGTTGTGATGTAAAAACAGAATTTTACTTAAGTATTTTAAAACCGAGTATATCTGTTTTCTTTTTATTTAATATTAAGAAAACAAGTGGAACTATTTCTGAATTACAAACATTTAAAAATAATTAATTTGAACACTGCAGCCTGTTTAAAGAGACTTCATCACATGTAGGTGGTTCTTCTTTTCAGATATTTTCTTACTGCAGCCCAAAACAACTGCTACTGGTTTACTATTGTCTTTACGTCTACATTTAATAAGCTACAACACACCCATACACACTGCAATATTCATCGTTCTTTTATCACCATTATCACCATTCTTAATCTAATGAACTCGTTCTTCTCATCTCTTCCCACCTCATCGTTCTTGTTTTGGCTTTTTTATGCGTCTTCCTTGAAATGGACACTTATGAGTAACTGTAGCATTTCTACATTTTGTTTTAATTATTCTTTTCTAAAATGTCCTAAATATGATCATCATAAAATTAATTATGAGCATATTTTTAAAAATCTTTGGCAAACTTCTGCTTGCCTCATCTGATTGAAAAACATGATCTATTAAAATAAACAACATAAATGTAAAGGTGAAATCTCTGCAAGGGCTTGCTGTGGATAATGAAATTCCACAGGGCGGCCAGCAGGGGGCTCCATCTTACCAGGCCAAGAATCTGCAGGAAGAGGAAGTGGTAGAGAAACAGGATACCAGTAGAGAGCAGCGCCCACCACATGTCTCCCAGGGGCTCGGGCTTGTATGTGCCTGCAAACAGAGTCACTCATGAAACATCTCACTGAGGTTTAGAGAGAGAGCTCACAACTTATAAACATCTTCCATCTGAGCTCTGTTTATAATGAAAGAGTGGATTTAACACTAAAGGCCTGGATGATAAAAAAATATTTACATGATGACAAAACAAAATGAGCACTAAGGAGTAAAGGTTTGATCAGGGAAATGTTTGGTCCACATACAGACCAGCGATGGCTTTGTAAATGATGTGATATGTGGGGAGCTGTATGGACTGGGCACCAGAAGGAATAAGAAAAATAAGAGAAAGTGAAAGAAATCGTGTTACCAGGTAGTTGCCAGAACAAAAGAGTAAGTCAAAACATTAAGTGAAGGTGACCAGACACAGAGGACCCATTAGATATTTAATGGAGTTTGGTGGAGGTTTGGCTTGGTGACCTCTTGTCAACACCCTTAGGTCTATGGTGCACCCCCACACAATGTGAAGGTTCTAGTGGCCCAGGACAGAACACACCTGGTGACAGATCACCATATAAAGCACCAAACATTAAAGAACTCCTGCCTGTCATTACACAGGTACTGGGGCCTTTACAAGCCGCCATGTCATCCTGCCCGTCTAACATCAGAAGGTTCACCATCCCATGCACGTGTAGTGAACCTGATCTGACCCTGATCTGACCCTGATGACCTCAAATCTATCAGATGGACAGAGACTGTTATTTTCATTGATCTGAATACAGTCTGAGCCATCTGGTGACTTTCTTTCTTGAATTAATCAAGCAGAAAAGACAATTCTCTATAATCATTACTGTTTACAAATGTTTGATAATCAAATTGTGTTAGTTCCATTCAATGCTTACAGGTTGGAAAGAACTACTCATTTTTATTTTACATAAACAGTAAGTAATGATTTTTATTCCTCATTCAAAGAAGAAATCAGGTTAATATGCATTTCTTGATTCTCTGTCTGAAATGAGCCAAGTTTTGTAAGTATGTGAAAGGTCGGTCTTCGGTCAACTAAATGTTTACTGAAAAAGAAATGTCATGTTTAATCTTTACAGAAGATACAGAAGAGTTGACTCCACGAAGTCTGCTTTTCTGCAATAATCTCTCTGTCAGTTGTTGAACAATCTCATTCTCTGACCTTGGCTTAGATAACATCTTACGTCACAAAAACACACCTCTTTCTGGTCCATCCACGAATCAGAAAGCTCTCAAATGAACCGGAAGTCGACCCATTTAAAATGTGGCAACTTCCCAGTTCATGTTAGAATGCAGAATTCAGAACTCGGAATGGAAAAGAATTCCAGAGATGAAGAACTAGAGAGTTGCTGACAATTAAGAGTCTGAGAGTCTGAGAGACTTAGACAATGAAGAGTTGCTGAGAGTAAAAGAATGAAAGGAGTTCAGAGTTCTTGGATGCAGAACGCGTTCAGGATGATCCAGAGACGTTTTGGAATTATAATTTCTGTTTGAACGACCCACGCACGACTCTCGAAGGATTTTAGCTGTTCTCAACGGAGACGCTGAAAAGTCTGGAGGATTCTCTATCGAGCTGATCTATCATCAACCAGGTAACGGTCTCTTCTTCGACTAAAGTGTACCAGAGGCAAGCTGAGATCTGATGAAGCGTGCACGTTCTGGTCAAACAGATTAATTCCCTCACATATCTCTCTGTAAGATAACTCCATTTCATCTTAAAACTCTCCTCTTTCTCATAAAATCAGTACAGATATTTTAGAAATATCTGAAGCAAAGTCCTCAAATCACCGCCGAGTGATTTGAAGTTCATTATTTGTGAAACTTGTCTGTTATTATTTTCATATTTTGCCAAATTAATGTAAATGTTTGATGTTAAACTTTGATTCTGAAAATAAATGGCCGCATTCATTTTGATGGGTCAAAGATAAATAACGTCTCTCGTTACATTTTTGTTAAAATTCAATGCACGACTTACACAGTCAGAAAGATGAGGAACTCGTGAAAAAGTATGCATATATCTCATATATTTGTCATACTACACACGGACCCAACAATTAATAACAATCGGTGCCATAACCAAGAGATGTGGACCGATGATGATGTGTTGCGTTTAGAGATATGCTCTCTGTTGTCATGGATGATCATTATCTGTACATACAGTGAAGACAATTCAATTCAATTCAGTTTATTTATATAGCACCAAGTCACAACAGAAGTCATCTCAGGACACTGAACAGAATATCCTAGAATTGTGCCGCTCAAGGTGGCTGCATGTTGGAGCAGCTCTGTTTCTTTCATTCTGAGATTTTGCTTTTGGAAACTTTAATTTCTCTTTTTCTGGATGTAAATCACATTTTTTTGGATGATTGTTTCCTCTGGTATCAGATGCTGTGCAGCTGAAAGGATTTTTACTGAAACTTTTTTAGTTTTGGACATTTGTTATGATGCGTAACCATGGCAACAAGGCAGTTTTCTACAACCAACAGCAGCTGATTAACATCTCAAAAGCTCAAATAATATCTCAACTACAGCCCCAAAACTCAAATAAGTTGAAAGGATGTTCTTTGGACGCATTCTCATCTACCTGCCAGCTGTGCTCAAGTGCCTGACCACTGAGATCCTGGAACTAGCAGGAAACACGGCTCATGACAGCGGAAGGACAGAATCGTCCCTCGGCACCTACAGTTGGATGTCTGCAGCGACAAGGAGCTCGGCAGACTGCTGGGAGGAGTGGCTATCGCTCTAGGAGGAGTTCTGCCCGCCATTCAGGCGGTCCTACAGCCTGGGAGAACCGAGAGGCCAGCCGAGTCTGGGTGGACGGATTGGACGGCATCTGCAGCCAGTTTCTTAGGATCCACTGTGGGATGGACCTTTACAAGAGATCCTTCCTGCCTACAGCCATCAGCATCTATTACATCTCTTAATGAAATGAGGATCACGAGTTACAACAACAAATAATTTCCCTTTGGGATTAATAAAGTATTTTTGAATTGAATTGAATTGAAACATTCATATATAAAAATTATAATTTAAGACTATTTAGTCCAATCCTCAGTGTTGTGGTGAGACACGTTACTGTTGGTAGGATGTGGGGGGGTCATGGGCTCAGACCTCAGGTCATGTCTGGTAGTGAATCCAGGGACACTGACAGCAAAGTGCCACATCAGTGACGTCCTGCGTCCACATGTCTGACTCCTCCTGAGACAGCACCCTGCTAGTTTTACAAGTCAACATGTGTTTACACATGACACGTGTGTCACTCTATAAACAGCCTGTGTCATGCTGAAGTCCTTCCAGGACAGCCATGCACCCCCCCACCCCCCACCAGTTTTTCTTGATCCAACATGTGGGTTCAGTTCAGATGTTCACTCTGACCCGGTGCTGACCTACAGGATGTAGATGCCCGTTAGAACAGCTGTGGGCTGACCTACTGCAGGAAAGAAAACAACAGATGTAGGACTGTTCTGTACTGAATGTCTGACTGAACCCATGGGGGGGGGGGGGGGGGGTCACCCCCCCTACAGACCCTCATCACAATACAATCACATGACCTTTCAACACGTGCAGTTTCATCTCATTTCCACCTGCTTGTTTTTTTTTTTTTTTTATTGTTGCTGTCAGTGTAAGAATGTATAACCAGCCGTTAAAACAACAAGCCTTCCCTCCTTTCTCACTCCCGACATCTTCTAGAATACCACGGAGAAAAAACAAGTTCTCATTTGATCAACTTCACTTTTAAAACAAACATTTTCTTTGGCAGGATTTTGCAGTGACTTTACTAAAGAACAACGGAGCCCTCCAGGCCTCAGAGCTGTTCTTACTGTGCTAATAATGAGATAAGTCATCTCCTCTGCAGACGGTTTGATTACTTTTTATTAGTTATAATTTTGTGCGTTCACATTGTCTCATACCATCTTGGATCTTTGGACATAAAATACTAGAGTTAATCCAAACATGAACTTGTCATGTGAAGAGGTAGAGCAGCACACAGCTGATACCTGAGGAAAGTCAGCTGTATATACAGGTCCTTCTCAAAAAATTAGCATATTGTGATAATGGTCATTATTTTCCATAATGTAATGATAAAAATGAAATTTTCATATATTTCAGATTCATTGCACACCAACTGAAATATCTCAGGTCTTTAATTGTTTTAATACTGATGATTATGACATACAGCTCATGAAAACCCAAAATGCCTGTCCCAAAAAATTAGCATATTTCATCCCACCAATGAAAGACAAGTGTTTTTAATACAAAAAATGCCAACCTTCAAATAATCATGTTCAGTTATGCACTCAATACTTGGTCGGGAATCCTTTTGCATGAATAACTGCTTCAATGCGGCGTGGCATGGAGGCAATCAGCCTGTGGCACTGCTGAGGTGTTATGGAGGCCCAGGATGCTTCGATAGCGGCCTTAAGCTCATCCAGAGTGTTGGGTCTTGCGTCTCTCAACTTTCTCTTCACAATATCCCACAGGTTCTCTATGGGGTTCAGGTCAG